GCTGGAGTTGCACCAAAGGCTCAAGACCAAAGAGTGAGATTCCTGTGAAAATAGTATCTTTACAGAATTAGTTTTTAATAAAAATATACTTTAGTTACCAAACAGTATATAAACTTTTACATGTTATTATTGATACTATATACACATATATAGCAAGAATAAGGATCATCTAGTCATGTTAGGAAATCTCTTTATCCAAGTGAAGTTTATTTTGCATTTTAAGTATTCAGGAGTCAGAAACCCAGTCATATAATTTAAAACATGCCAATATCATATTTACCTGAATCCAAGACAACTTTGAATTTAAGATGACCCCCCATAATTAGATTTTATGCATGGAAAATGATAAATTCCTTATAGTTGAACCCAACCATCAGGGTGCTGTCTTAAATTCATCCCCTCCATGGCTGTAACCTCCAGTGCCTGCCCTTCTAATTCCTCCTCCCCTTCACCACTTGCACCCCTGCCACTTCTCTCCCCCATCACCTGCCTCCATGCCACTTGCACCCTCTGCCACCTGCTTCCTGCCACTGCCACTTAACTTGTGCAGTGGCCTTGGCTCTGCCCTACAGCATTGAGCACGATGGCTCTGGACCTGGCCTGGCCAGGCACCCCGTGGTGATGGTGACAGCTCTGGCCCTGTCCTGAGGCAGGCAGTGGCTGCGGCCTTGGGCCCAGATCAAGGCAGAAGCTAGAGCCATAGCACCTCCCCTCCTGTGTAGTCTCCCTCCATGCACCATGCTGTCCCCCCTGTGCAACCCCCCCCAAAATCTCCCCTGTGCTCCCTGCAACACATGAGCTGCCCCAGCCCGGATAGGTGGCAATTCCAGTTTTGAAGTTAAAGTTGGAGCCACAGAAGCTGCCTGTCCTGGGCCTCTACTCAAATCGAAGATGAGGGTCTCCCCCTCCCCCATGTTTCATTTTAATTGATTTTATCTATTTTAAATAAACTAATACATGATGTAAGCCACTTCAATTTCAGTAAATGAGATACATTAGCAGAACACAAGCTTTTTCAAATGAAAAATTACAGTAGCAAAAAAGTCAAATCAAGGGGGAAAAACCTTGGGTCTGAACTGACATATTTTACACAATACTCTGAATTTGAGCAAAATCTGTCTCTTGAGAGACAGCCAGAAGAAGATACTCCTCCTGAAGTGATAAATGATTAGACCACTATAGTAGGGTCTACAGCAAAAACAGCATGGTTGAAACTTTACTTTACGAGTAATCCTATTCATTTAGATAATACTGTTTATGGGATAAAAGGCTACTCAAAGTGATTAAGACTAGCAGAATTCTGGTTTTCATATTTTGGCTAACCATTGGCAAAAAAAGGAACTTAACCCAGTGTGAACCCAAATCTTACAGTTTAACCTTGATGACCTTGAATTCTTGCTTTGTGACAAAATGCTACAGAGCACAGAAGCATTTTTGCCTTCATGCATTTCTAGAACCAGATGGCAATGAAGCACATTTTATCCAGGATCTGCTTAAAGCTCTGAGTATAGCACCAGTAAGTCTGAAGGATGAAAAATATGCTATTTTATACCTAGCTTAGAGCCTGGATCACACCTATATTATATCTAGCTTAAAGCCTGGATCACAACTGTTAAATACCACAAGAAATATCTAAATAAGTTAATACACGATGTAAGCCACTGCCGTTTAGAGAATAAACTGTACTCAGTTTGATATTTATAATTATAAAAACATAACAGCCAGTGTAGTGTTTCAGTGCA